GTACAATCATAACAGGGCCCATAAGTTTGGAGAAATCCCAAGCTGACAATTATTGCACAAAAGGTAGGGGGCTGTGGCCTTCTCGCATTTTCCTGAGCTTGGTGCAGACGTAAGATGACTTATATTGTGATAGAGGCTTACTGAAAGTCCCCCCACCCAAAAGCATGACTGATATTCTAGCAAGTCTAGTCTCTACTGTCTATATACACCAATCAACCATAACATTATGATCATTGAAATGTGAAGTGAATAACATTAAAAGTGAACTATGGGGTGAATAAACTACACTCATCCCCATAATTAGAGCCAACGTGTGACATTGAAACTGTGAACCAAGTCAAATAGATCTTGACAGTATTGTCAGGATCCATCCTGGCTGAGGTGCTCTCAGTATATATCGGGCAATAACCTGCTATATATTGAGTTTTGGGTCACGAGAGGTGGTTAGTATATGTCCTCTCATGACCCTAAAGAGGAATATGGGGAAAAAAGGTTACCCCGTAGTTCTCCTTTACTTATCTTACTTAGGCACCTGAAAGGGGGTGGGATATATTAGGAAGCAAGTGAACATTTTGTTTTAAAGTTGATGTGTTGTAAGCAAATTGCTGAAAAGAATAATGCTGGTTCAAATAGAAAGGTGCCTGTACACACAGTGCATCACAGTTTGTTGCGTATTGGGCTGCATAGACACAGACCGGTCTGGGTGCCCATGCTGACCTGTATCCATTGCCAAACAGACCTGCAATGGGCATGCGAGCATCAGAACTCGTCCACGGAGCATTGGAAGAAGCCCCAGGCATTTTTTTTTTCATTATGGTTCTTTTCTATGAACATAAACCTTCGTTCTATCTGTTTACACTATAGCTCTTCTTGGGTATAATTTACTGAAGAATGTGACCATTTTTCTGAGCCTGGGGTTTGTTCCCCAGCTACTAATATCTAAAGTCCACATGCTGCTAAAAACCTCCTCTAAAAACACCCAGCACTTGAAAACACAAGGCTCTCAGTACTTTGATCTGTGAACTTTCGGTTAGTATCAGCAGGTCAAAATCACTATTGTCTCTGTCATTTCAAGATCAGTAATCTCATCTGGAGCTTTACTGAAATTCTACCTGGTGTTCCACAGAAAAAATGAATCTAAGATACAGAGGGATAACATGAGAATGCAATAGAAGATTCTTAATATTGTATGCACGGTTATTTTTCAATCTGATATAATTTTGTCTAAAGTTTAATTATACATGAGTGTGACATGAGCAAAACACCTGTGTGAGAAGGCACTGAGAAAATGAGCCATTCTTTCCATACTGGTCCTGGGTCAGCAAAGTTGCATCTGCTCATTGAGTTGTTGCCCTAAAATGATTGTGTGCATGAGTTTCCCCTCAGATTTCTCTACCATTTTTTTTTAGTTTGTGATAGAGGTTCTTTAAGTTTGTGTGATATATTTAACTTTTTGAAGTGTTATTTCATAATGTAAAATTACATTTTCTTCTATATTGCTGTGGGATTGTCGCTTGTCGAGTTTGGCAAGGAAACAAAGCAATAAAAGATATTAAGCTAGCTATATAAGGACAGAAACGCTGAAATGGAAAGGCAAACACAAAATAAGAAAAGTGCAGCATTGCTCTAAATCAATAGCTGCATTTCAAGTAATGGAAAGTCAGTGACTTGCTACCATTGGAGGCCCTGAAATGTAAACAATTTTTTGGGAAACCCAACTTATGTAATGATGTTAAAACTGAGCTCCAGGCAGATATAAAATACATAAATTAATGCAGGTATGTATTTGCTAACAAATTATTAAATCTATTTTTTATGAATAGCAGTGTCATTTACTGAATTTGGATCATCAGCTAACAAGGGACATGCTGATAATAGGAGAGCAGAGTGACAGAAAGATTAGCTTATCAGTTTGCTGTTTCTCCTTTCACTATACAGTCACAGTTTATAGGAGGGACAAGACTTGAACTTGTTAACTTAACTCCAGCAAAGACGGTCAAAGCTCACTCCTGTGATGGACTACGAACCCAATACAAATTAGTAAACTAAACGTGAGATTATGGTCCATCATGGGAGTGAGCTTGGAGCGGTGGCTACTTTACAACAAACACAGGGATCATGGGGAACAAAAGTAGCCACCCTCCAGAAAGAAATGTTACCACCCACCCACCTACACGATTGGATGGGAAGCCTAGAAAGCCGAATCCATGCTCCCTTGCAGCTTTCCAGGCACTGAGGACTGTGGGTGTTATGTAAGAAATGTAAGTGGCAAGTGCTGTTGCACTCTGTATTGCTGAGCTGATCACATAGAGATCTTTGTGATCTTTCCACCAGCTCAGTGACTAAAAACATGGTGCTTGCTGTTGTGGTTTCGGTGCTGTACCCTGTGCACAGCCTATGCCTGCAACCAAACTGTGCCATAGTGAGGAAAAGAAAATCTTCATAGTCGTTCTTACTTCAGTTTTACATGTACAGTTATTTTTTCAGTAACAAAAATGGTGCGCAGCTGTTATCACCAAGTTTATTGATGTGGTCACAGCAGTCTTGTATCAGAATCATAGTATTAAGAAATGCGTCAATATAAAGTCACCATGTACTGATTTTGTCTCCGTGCTTTTTTAAAGCCATGTTTATATACAACAAATTTCTCAATGGTGCTGATCTCCTCCAGCCTCTTAGTAGCCACTTCCTGTCTATGTTTATGTGCTTCAAAAGCAGCTGCCTGTCATTGCCTACAGCAGGCTTCCTTATGGTTAGCACTCATTCACACTAGAAAAGGCTGGCACGTACAGCTCTGTGCTGCGTGCACGGCCGTATCGGGCAGCTCCTGGGAAGGACAGGTGATGCTTGTGATTAGTAAGTAGCCCCCGTCCTCCTCTATGGGAGTACGCGGCTGTACGCCGCCCTATGCTCACCCGCCCTCCAAGTCAGTGCGGGTGTCCATACTCATACGCTGACAGGATGGATCAGTGTTCAAGCCAGGAAACACGCACCCATACGGACCTGCACTTGGGGTGAGTGTAGGGCGGCGTACGGCCACGTAGTCCCATAGAGAAGGATGAGGACCTTCACACGCAGCACCTGTCCTTCCCGGGAGCTGCCCGATATGCCCGTGCACGCAGTATGGAGCTGTACGGGCCGGCCTTTGCTAGTGTGAATGAAGGCTTAGGGTTGGGTTCGATGTTCGAGCCGAACGTGAGTTCGACTCGAACATCAGCAGTTCGTGTGTTTGGCGAACACATGAACTGTCAGGGTGTTTGGCGGGCTGTTCGCTCACCGAGCACCCCGCACATGGCACTGTGCCACAGGTTAGGTGCAAGACTTTGCCCAATCAGGGCACAGAGAACTGTGAGCGCCATGATTGGGCAAAGTCATGATGACTCTGCCCCATCATGGCTCACCTGTTACAACTGTAAACAGTTTGGAGGAGCCAGCTGTCCACCCAAATGTTTATGTTACCGATAGATGTTAAAACGCCATTCTGCAGCGGGTGAATGCTGCGAGCCGACGGGATGCGGTCGTCTTTTTTTATTATTATTTCTATTCATTTTTTATTGTTTTATTTATGCTCGGATCAACGGTCTGGTATGGAATTTTAGAGGGGACCCCAAATATTTCCCCCCCATTTTTGGGGGTGGGGTTCCTCCTTAAAATTCCTACCAGACCTTAAGGGCCTGGTATGACTTTAAATCCTTCGTGATGGGAGGCATAAACTGTACGTCCCGCCACAAACTGCTTAAATGACTGGCCACGTACACTGCACGTGACCAGTTATTTGCGGCTCTGTAATATAAATAAATGTTTTATACTATAATTATTATAAACAATTTCGAAAAAATAATAACAATCAAAACTTGTGAAAAAAGTGTTTTATTTATGTTTTTTCCCTCATTTTCTATATTTTATTCGAACTAAGCGAGGCATTAGATACACATGTTTAATAAAATTATATAGCCCCATCTGTCCTTTAAAAACAATATATCATATGTGTGGGTACATTTATTAGGAAAGTATATTACTGCCATGGAAGAATCACACAGCAAAAATTTTTTAAAGTGTGTCAGTCATTTATGAACAAAAACTGAAACAAGCTCAGTCATGAAGGGGTTAAGTGGGAACCCCCACACACTTTTTTATTTGTTTTGTTTTTGCATGGGGTCCCTTCTAAAATTCCTACCAGACCTTGAGGGTCTTGTATTGTTTGGGAGGGGGAAGTGCACGGTTTAAAATTTGTTTTAATTGTTTTCTTTAGAAATGTCAGTTTTGCTGCAGCAGGTTTTTTACACTGTACAGATGCGCCACTTTACAGGCAGGTTAAGGGGACCCCCCAGGCACGATATTTAAAGGATTTTTTTCATTTTTATTGTTACCCTTTAAGTGATGTTAAAAAATAACTGCTCCTTTAAAAACTGTGCTTTTTAAACGTTTTTTTTCATTGATTCATGTCCCCCAGGGCAGTACCCAGATCCCCATACACTTTTTGTGGCCAATAACTTGCATATAAGCCCTCTTAAAGGGGACAATTGTTTTTGAAAGTTCCACCCCAAAGACTTGCATTAAGTTTATATTCAAACTTTTTGGATGTTCTAAAGTTCGAATTCGAACTGAGCTTGGGCCTGTTCGGCCCATCACTACTTATGGTAACCATGGCAGAAGATGCCTGCACAATGAGCATTGGCACATCTGTTTATGGTCTCCACTGTAAGTAAATATGACAACATGACTATGCTAGAGATCAGTTGGAATGCAGGGCCAGAGCTTTGTCACTCTATAACAGGATGTGCCTTAAAAAGGCTTTTATAGAAGGATTACCAATTATTATTTTAATAAAAACTGCATATTTAAAAAGACTGAAAATGATAATTAAAGCTACCTAAATATGGTAAATATTAAATGAGATGCTAGTGGTTGGGTTTAGACCATTTTAAAGTATTGTAATACATACATACAAATAAACAGATACCAACTATAACTATATTTTTTGTATTTCTGTTTATTAGGTTATTTCCAAGTCTCAGCATCATTACAGAGCTAACACATCCAGCAAACATGAGATTCATGCAATTTAGGGCCAAGGACTGTTATTCATTAGCTCTTTCCAAGTTGGAGAAGGTAAGCAGGGGAGTCCCTACACTTTTTGCCACCAGAGGTTGGGAATGGGGGGAAGGGGGTGCTGGTGGTGTGCGGTCCAGGAGGTGGGGTCGTTTTTAAGGGGACTGCTGACGGTGGGGGGGATGGGTGCTGGAAGTGCACGTTATGGAAATGGGGTGGGGTGGTGATGCACTGTATCTCTGGCTCTGTCTGGCACCCCGCACAGCTCACTGACATCACTGGTTGACAAGAGCTCGACAGGATGCCAGTCAGATCATCCCACTCAGCTCCTGGCAGCCGGTGACATCAGTGAGCTGGACAGGATGCAGGATAGAGTGTCACAGTTTGCCAAGAGCTCTTAGTAACCTGGCATGCTCTGGCCAGAACCTGACACCCCCCTCCCCATATGTCCCAATGAGATGCCGTCTGAGGTAGCCAACTTAGGCTGCCTCATTACAGGGATGGCCCTAAAGGTAAGTGTAAATAAAACCCACATATTTAGGAGGGGTTTGGATTATTTTTATAGTTCCTATCTTACTGAAATTCAGAGAACTATGCTTCGACAAACAGAGGTTAATATATATTTTTAGTTAGCTCATTTTTGTATTGTACACTGAAACATTTAGACTTTATACCACTTTATACCATTTAGCTCCTGGCGTTCTAGTACTGAGATCCTTACAGAAGTTTTGGAGTGCCCCTGTTACAAATATTATTACTACTGAGTTTTGTTCACAAAATGTATAGTCAATTATTTGTTTGTACAGTGGTAAAAGAGGTCAGTTTGATGGGTTTTTCTTTTAGGAATGTGTGTTCTCATATCGTAAATCCCAAATAGAAGATAGTGCAATGTTATGTGATCCTTCAACTACCTGCCAGTCAAATTGTAATATTCATCATGCATAAATATAATAGAGAAAAGATCACTATTTTAGATAGACCCTTTTAGATGATGCTCTGCATCATTTGACTTTGTGCCCTTGGTGAAATCAAATATCACAATGAATAGGTCAGGGTTTTAGAGGGGACATCACCATACTAGGCAGAACCAGAATACAAAGAAGAGGTGTGTTACAGGTACACCATTCTTAGGTTAAATGACAGGTTGCATTGGTGCTTATACTGTGCACATGTGAAGTGCTCTAAATACAGTAAATGTGTTTTTAAACTTCATTGGGAATGTATTAGATAGAAAGCACAAGGCTTTTGCATCCTTTATCTCTTTGAGCTGCCGCTTATATTATGTCTGTATATAATCCATAAATGAATAAAATCCTGCATGACCGTACTTAGTTAATATGGTCCATTGAAAAAGCTAAATATTTCTCCATTAAGGTGAAGTGAAAAAATACAAAATATGGAGGTACACAAAAGATAAAGCACTGCAAGTGGAAAAACTGTAAATAACTTATACACTGATCAATGATTGTGGTGAAACATTTGTTTGGCACTTTTATATTGCATTGTTTTGTATTTTAATGTTGATGCATTGAACTCTGCATTTTTCCTTTGGAACAGAGATGGATTGCACTTGTGCACTTTAAAATTATTTTTCATGGTTTATAATACTGCATTTTTGTAAATTAGGTAGAGCTTTATTGTATTCATGTATGGTGAATATTGCAATTTTACTGGTAGGTAATTTAAGTATTACATAGAACTGTACTAATTTATTTGTATGTCCTTTATGATTTTTAACTGGAAGTACTGGCTGAATAGTTATTATTTCTTCTATTAAGGATTTGCAAGTGCAATATTCTATATTAAGTTGTAAAGCACAACTGAACTTTCAGTAGTAATTACCGAAATATATTTCAGGTGCAGCAAAACAAAAAAGTGCAACAAGACTAAAGCTTGCCATACAATTTACAACCATCGCACGACTTGAGTCGTGCAATGGTTGTAAAGTAATTAAAAGCTCATACGATCTGCCCATCTTGGACAGGCAGATCGTACTTGTGATGACTCCAATGCCGCATGGGCAGTGTGCATTTGTCTCCCGAGAACGCAACTAACCCGCCGACAATCGTACGATTCTCGGCGGGTTTTCAAGCCTGCTCGGGAGACAAAAGATGTGCGACCGCACAATAGAAACGGTCATACGCCTTCCATACACCTGCCGATTATTGTACGACCGCGGGAATTCCCGCGATTATCGTACAATAACCGGCGGGTGTATGGGCACCTTTACAGTTTTTTTCTTTCTAAATCAGCCACAACCTGTTAGAAAAGCTTTCCCCCTGCCATTATATTGTCAAGTAGGGATCACTGGATATTCTACTTGGAGAAGCAGTGATCTCTTTGCCAAAGTTTTTGTCTGGTCTGGAATGCACTGGAACGTATAAAAATGGATCACAAATGCACTGGAACGCAGTGGAACACATCTGTAGGACCATTTTAAGCAAAAAAAAAAAATCCAAACGCGGCAAAAACGCAATGCACTCCATTCCAGATCTGGTCCAGAAAATGGTGTGAACCTGCCCTAGAGAGGAGTAGATCAAATGTTACTTAAAGATAATTAAAAACGCACAGTTACATAGTAGGTGAGGCTGAATAAAGCCACAGGTCCACCGAGTTCAACCTATATATTAGATGTGTGTATGTGTGTGTGTGTGTGTGTGTGCTACTAGCAATTCCCATAACCCTGAGTATTATGTAAACTGAGGAACTCATCTAAGTGTTTTCTGCTCATACAGCTAACTGCAGAAGTGAATTCCACATTTTTGCCCTTCTCACAATAAAAAACCCTTACGCAGTCTGAGATTATGCCGCATCCCCTACAATTTCTTGTTGTGCCCTTGCATCTTCCCTAAAGTTTAAGTAGTGTATTCCCAGCACTACTGTCCCCATTGATGAGTAGATTGCAATCATGTCACCTTTTAAGTGTCTCTTCTCCAAGGAGAACAAATTTAATTTTTTTAAGTTGATCTTGATATTTTAGGCCTTACCTTATCAATTTAGTCAGCACATCCTGTATAATGTGCTTCAGCTAAAGTGGTATTTGCAAAGAAAATTATTGCTGCTTAATGACACATCCATTCCCCACAGGATTTTGTTTGTAAACAAAACAGCTGAGGCATCCCAAGTTACATAATTGACCACATATGGTCGTGGCCAATGGCATCAGACAGATGGCAGGGTACACTCCCCATTCTGAGGGTACATTGCTTTGTATAATTCAGGAGGACAGTAAGTTTGCTGCCGCTCCCTTTCCTTACCAGCCAGGATAAGGGTCTGGTATGGATTTTGGGGGACACTGTTTTTTATTGGACTGGTAAGTTTCAGGAGGGGGGGTCCAAATTCATATTGGACTCTTAATCTGGATGAGGGTCTGGTGTAGATGTGTTTAGGGACTCTGTGCAAAAAAAGAAAAAAGTGGGGTTCCCCACGGCAGGTCAGGATAGGGAGGGGTAGTGAGCATGAATTCATCCCACTCCTGAAAGAAAACAGGCCTTTTGTCCTGTGGACAAGAGCCTAATTCCCACATACTTAGTCCAATGGATGTGGGGGCCTACCTGGGGACATTTATCAGAATCTAAAGGTGCCCTTTAGGATAAGATATTTATGTAAATAAATACATCCACTGCATGACAAAATCATTTACCAAAGTCCACGGTCTGTTGCTGAGTTTTGTTTTGTGAATTCTGTCACAACTCTCAACTTACCTGTATCAATTGCACGGATCCTTGCACTCGCAGCATATCAGTACTTGGCTCTCTTGTCAGTGACTTGTGTCCTATAACTTCCCACATAAAAATAATGAGGCGTCTTGCTTCGTGTTATAGACAGGCAATACATCCCTTCTGCCACACCTCCTGACATCACTTCCTGTTTGATCACTATAAAGCTGGAAGGTTCCAGAGAGAGAGAGAGTGCTCAGTTGTTTCAGAGCTATCCACAGTGTGGGCCAGTTGCTAGCCATGTGATCCCAGTTACCTGACCTTTGCTAAATTTATTGACTCTGATCCTTTGCTACCTGCCCTGACCTTATGCTTCATTTAACTATGATTATTGGATTTACCCTTTTGTACCACATTATTGGAATATGTGCCTGATTCATCTCCTGAGTATGCTATCCCAAGGAGTGTGCCCCTGCTATTGGGCTCTGCATATCCAATTAGTGACAAATGCATATTGCTAATTCATTTGTTCCTAGCTGTCATCCAATCATCCAATGTGAATTAAACTGCTTCTTTCAATTATTGGATTGAACACCACAATCTCTACAACAAAGCAGTATGTGTGAATGCACCTTGAAAAAAAAAAATCTTTGAAAGTGTAACACCTCTCTTGAGCAGATTATAATATACTGTAGGTATTAGCATTATTATAATTGAGAGAACTTTTTTGTATCAAGATGACAAAAAAATCTAAATTGAAAATAAAGTCAATATATTTATCCCTTTAAATAATTGCTCTTTTTTGTGAAATCAATAAGCAATTGTTGGTCTTACAAATGAACTGGGCTATAGAAAAAAAAAGCAATTTTTGAAGCTGCTGTGCTTGTATGAATGAGCTTGTCAAATATTAATAAGAGGCCATATACTAATTTTTTCACATTATGCTCAACCACATCCTTGATTTACAAGCAATTAAACAGGTTTGAAGGCGATCTAAATTTGTCCAATTAATTATTTATCCAAATGTGTAATGAAATAGCTGGGCGGCTAATGGACTGGAGAGCTTAACATTCATTTTCCCATCTGTTGCTTGGTATAAATGGCACTTTTGGTGACAATAAGTTGCAGATGAATCACCTTGAAATTATCTTAATTTCCTGCCTTTAATTACAGCTAAACATTTAAGGCTTCCACGTTAAACAACACTTCTGATTTGTCCTGTTGTGGCTTGTAGGAGTAAGTGATAAATAACTTTAGGTTCAAGGCTATAAATGTTTAATTTCATGGAGTAAACTTTTTTTCAAGCATTTTCGTGAATTTTTCTACAGATACTATCATTCCCTTTATCATATTGTGAGAGTCATTTACTAAAGTGCAAATATGTGGGTGCACAAGACAAATTCATTTAAAACAACATAATCTTTAAGAAAAGCAAGAACTTACTACATTACTTAAATTACTTTTCCTGGATATATCAAGATAATGTGTTATTTTGTATTTGACTTAATTTTTAAGCAGGTTCATGCAAAACTACCATTCCACTTTTGGGTGGGTGCTGGGGAGTTAAAGCGTACCTTTACTTTATCTGAACTGATCAAATTAACAGGTTTGTTTGCCAGCTAGCATTACTAGGAGATGATACATCCCCTTCCTAAACTTCTCAGGTGTCTTAAAGTGACTCTGTCATGAGGGTAGTCCGAGGGCTGCCATTGTTATTTTTCTTCTGAAAGTATTAGTTGCTTAGCTGTGTCTGACTTAAAGCTGAACTCCAAGTAACAACATTTATTTATACTATATAGGCATTCTCTGTTTGAAAGAGTGGCAGTGTTGTGATGTGGAATGGAATGAATGTTCCAAAAGCAATTATTTTTATAAAATTTGTTCTATCTGTGTATACGCTCCGCCCAGCTGTCAGAAGTAGACTGTCAGCCAGCCAATGGCCGGCCTTTCGGACAGCTTCGGCTTTCACCGCTGCTCAGTCGAGCCGAGGCATATGCCTTCGCCTCGACTGAGCCGCTCGGCCAACTTCGGGAGCTGTATGGGCTATAGTGAATAACCCGTACATCAGCCCTTCGGTTCTACCGAACCGAAGGGGTCCTGGGGCCGAAGCTAGCCGAAGGATCAGCCGAAACTACGGCTAGATCCTTCGGCAGCTTAGTCAATAGACCCCCTAGTGTGTTTTTTGGGGGCAGTGTCTTATTTTCGGGGAAATACGGTACATAGGGAATGTGGTGTAACCTAATTAGGGTGCAGTTCCTATTTCCTGTTTTTAAGGAAATTTCCTTTTAAGAAGAAAATTGATTTTTCAGTTAAAATTACAGATTTTGCCAAAACAAAACTCTTAGTTTTGCTTGGATGAAATTTGCTTTTAGAAAAAAAAAATCAACTATTTAGTTATCTTTAATTAGAGTAATATGGGGTTCTATTTAGAGTAGCTTAGTTGATTTATTGTTATTTGTGTTTTCTTTCCTTTTTTGTTTGATTTTTAATTTTGTAATGCCACATTTTTGGTTTACTTTTTTTTGCTTTCTTTTTCATTCTTTCTGTAAAAGTAAAATAATGGGGGGGGGGGGCTTTTTTGGCACAAGAACAGTTCCACGATAGTTGAAAGGTGCTTCCATAACACTCATGAGCTACTGTATTAAAAGCCCATTGGCCCCTAAAAACCCCCCCAAAACAAAACAACTTTTTCCTTTCCATTGGCTGCAATGTTTTTAGCTGGAATAAAGAAATGTCACCAAAATCTCATTTTTTTTTACAATGTTTTGGCAAAAAATGACTCAACACAATTTTTTTAACATTTCTTTTTATTGTTTTTTTTTTTTTGTAAACTCCATTTACTCCATTGCTATGATATAGTTGGGCTTACAAGCCCCCTATGTAATAGCATATTTGGTGGTGACAGGTACTCTTTAAGACCTCTAATGTCACCTTCCACTGCAAAAAAAGCTATTCAAGTACAGATCATGTTTGAATCACTTGAAAGCTCTGAATAGCTAGAGAAGCCACGGAAATGACAGCTTAGGAATCAGCATAGCTTCTGGGACTGTTCATCAGGGGGGAGATCGGAGAATGAATGTTCTCCACTCCCTCTCCCTTCTCCCCACAGACACCCTTGATGCTGGTCTCGGGCCTGCAGAAGAGGCAGTTGTGGGATGTCAGGCAGGGAGGCATGCTTCACTGCCCCTTGGAAGCAAACCGGTGGCAGTCCACTGTCCCTGCGAACACGCACATAGTAAGGTAAACAAGCGTTGTGTGCGCCATAGTACGAAAACATTGATTGTGCTACACATGATAGGTAACACCGCATGCACCAGAGTGAGAGCAATAATTCTAAGGCCAATATGTATGGTTAACTCCAAACTGATCAATTGTACAGGCTTTTAAATGGACATTTTAGGGTACCGTATTTTTTCGCCGTTTGAATTGTTGAGGTATCTTATTACTTGGCATAACCTCATCTTTTATATTTTATAACAAAATTAATATTATTTAGTATTTTGGGCCACTAAAAGTAAAAGTGTAATTTTTACTGAAATTTTGGGTTTGATATACCGTATATACTCGAGTATAAGCCGTCCCGAATATAAGCCGAGGTACCTAATTTTAGCAAAAAAAACTGGGAAAAAGTATTGACCCGAATATAAGCCGAGGGTGGGAAATGAGGCAGCTACTGGTAGATAGATACCAATAAAATTACATTAATATTTATTTAAAAGAAAAATAACCTAGCTCTGTAAGTGGAAAAGGGGGTACAGGGCTACATATCATGTACTACGGATCATTTAACCCATTCATATTAGCAGAGGATAATTGTAAATCTATTGTTCAGTGCACTCTATATGTAGTATATAGTACATGTACATATAGAGTGCCTGCAACAATACATTTACAATGATCCTCTGCTAACATGAATGGGTTAAATGATCCATAGTACAGGGCTACATACAGATCATTTAATACATTCATGTTAGTATCATTGTAAATGTATTGTCTGCACTGTATTAGCAGTATATACTCTATATAGAGTATATACTGCTAATACAGTGCAGACAATACATTTACAATGATCCTCTGCTAACATGAATGGGTTAAATGATCCATAGTACAGGGCTACATACAGATCATTTAATACATTCATGTTAGTATCATTGTAAATGTATTGTCTGCACTGTATTAGCAGTATATACTCTATATAGAGTATATACTGCTAATACAGTGCAGACAATACATTTACAATGATCCTCTGCTAACATGAATGGGTTAAATGATCCGTAGTACATGATATGTAGCCCTGTACCCCCTTTTCCACTTACAGAGCTAGGTTATTTTTCTTTTAAATAAATATTAATGTAATTTTATTGGTATCTATCTACCAGTAGCTGCCTCATTTCCCACCCTCGGCTTATATTCGGGTCAATACTTTTTCCCAGTTTTTTTTGCTAAAATTAGGTACCTCGGCTTATATTCGGGACGGCTTATACTCGAGTATATACGGTAGTTGTGCCAATATCAAGTAACATACAAATTTGGAATGGCTGCCATTTTATTCTACAAGGTCTGTGATTTCAGAAAATATATAACTCTTGGGGTTCTAGGTAAGTTTCAGTCCTAAAATGTGTCCTAAAAAGTGCAAAAAACGCCTTGGCAGCGAAAGCGTTAAAGTGTATTTCCACGTTTCCAGCCAAATTTGGATAACACCTATTTTCTAATTGTTAGATGTTCTCATTCACATACTATAAGCTAAAAAAAATGCTTGCTGTTTAAATTGCTTATAGTTGGATTAAGGTTTCTTAAGGGTTAAACGTTCTACTTGCTTCTCCTTTGTAATGTTAGAAGGAACTTTGAGGGGTGAGGGGTTAAAGGAAAACAGCCCTGGCTGTTAATGAAATTAACTAGAGAAACACAACCCTCAAATTTCAATCCAAAGTCTTTCTATAAGGACAAATAACAGTGAAGGTGCTCAAAAAAACCTCTGAAATCAGTCATGTTGCCTGCTGCAACAAAACATCTAAAAAGGTAAGAAATTACAAAATATATTTTTCAGTATGTTGTGTGAATAGGAACACATAACAAACATTTAGAGGGATTTTCTCAAATTTGACTGCAAAAGGGGAAATACACTTTAACCTATCCATAATTATGGGGAAGAGCATGACATCATAGCTCATCTTTATAATATAATAGCTGCTCTGGAAGGGCTGAACAAGTAGTTCCTAAAGGGCATCCTTGCTGCTGAAGTCCTTGAGGAAAATAAGCAATTGATGTTTTGGTGGATACTAACTTAGCTTTCAAATGCAAATCACTGTAATACTTTGAGTTAGTCCTGCTTTCATTAACTAAATTAATTAATTTATTGAATTAATCAATAAATACAGAATTCAGCATTGTGGTTAGCAACATATTCAACTCCATTTTCTGAGAACAATGATGGCCATCAGTGAAATATGAAATTTTGCTAATGGGAATTTAAAAAAAATAGAAAATGAAGCTCATCTCTTTGTGAAGCACTACCATTTTCATATACTGCATATTCGCAGATGTTATGCAGATTGTTGAACAAAAGACACAAAGCAATATTGTTTGTTGCTTTTTTGTATTATATTATGCTGTGCTGATCATTCATCCAAAGCTATTAGGTGTTTTCTATACAATACTATTCCATAGCATGTTTTGTTTTCCTTTCTTTGTCATGTTATTTTTGTTTCAGAAAGAACGTGAGCGGGGGTCTAATCTGGCATTTATGTTTCGCCTTCCATTTGCTGCTGGCAGAGTATTCAGCATCAGCATGTTAGACACACTCTTGTATCAGGTAATGTAAAAAGAAGCAAGATACTATGGGATGAAAAACTGATGTTACCATTTGCTTTGCTTAACTCTCTGTTGGAGAATATAACCCATTTTCTTCACATGCATTCCTTATATTAACCACTTAAAGTCCGGGGTGTTAAACCCCCTTCCCATCCAGGCCATTTTTCAGTATTCAGAGCGGCAGTATTTTGGCTGACATTTATTCCGTCATGCAACGCTGTACGGAAATTCATTTTATACCCTTTTTTGGGGACAGATAGAGCTTTCTTTTGGTGGTATTTAATCACCACTACGGTTTTTATTTTTTACTATATTAACCTCTTGCCGTCCGCCCGTAGTAAAAAAACGGACGGACGGCACTGCTGCATTTGCGGGTTGCCGTCTCCAGACGGCAATTATTTTCTGCTCGCGCGCGCCATTACAGAAAATTCAAAAAATAAACTGTTTCCCCTATATTAAATTCTAAAACATGTATTATTTCCCAATTTTTTTGTAAAAGATAAAAGACGGGGTCACGTCGGGTAAAAAGACAAACATGTCATGCCTTAAAATTGCGCACGCACGCGAAACCTCAAAATTGGCCATAGGCTTTTACCGCTCATCAGTTTAGTGTTATCAGTGATTCATGGCCCTAAAATGATTGCTCTAACTCCGATGTTCACGGTGATATGTAACATGTGTAGCGCAATTGTCGTTTTCGCGCGCTGACGCATCTGACACACATTTACGTTTATATGTGCGTAAACGTAAGGGGAGGGACTTAAACATTTGGGGGGTTTACTTTTTTATTTGTGACTTTTATTTTTTTTAACTTTTTTTATTCATATAAAAAAATTTCACTTATTGTTAGTGCTATTACATAGGGGGATACAATCCCCCTAAATATTAGCAAAGGCACTCTGACAGGTCCTTTTTATGGAGACATTAGGGGTCTCTAGGACCCCTAATGTCACCTGGTGACCCCAAAAGAAGCTGATGAAGCAGAGATCTGCTTCATCAGCTTCTTCTCTCTGGCTATAGCAGCCAGATGACTGACAGGTAAATGCGGGCGTGATGCAATACACATCACTTCTGCATTCACAGCACGGAGGGATCGTTTGTATTTGAAACAGCCGTTAACGGCTGTAAAAACGAGCGGGTATTTCCTGCACACGCGCTAGGGGGCGCACGCGAGCAAGAAAAAAATGCCGTCTAGAGACGGCTACCCGCTGATGCGAGTCTGCCGTCCATCCGTTTTTTCTTAACGGGCGGAAGGCAGAAGGTTAAAGACTAAGTTTATTTTATATTAATTTCATCTTGGTAGACCAGAGCACATTAATATTGTTATTATTATTATTATTGACACAAATTAAAAAATATAAATGAGAACCTTTATGGGAATTGTAATGGTATACACATCCACCGAAAAACAACAAATAAAAAAGATAAGTGCCACTAAAACAGTGTTTTGTAAGGTATAGGTACACCACAGTGAAGTCCCACGTCATTCAATCTTCCATGTGTCCTTTAAAATGTCCAGCATCAGTGAGCAGCACCATCACCAAATTATACACAGATCATCTTACCAGACACAAATGTGTCCAATTCATAGGTCAGACTGTGTTCATTACAGGTTTTCCCAGGGTAACAATTAATTCAGACTACGATGAGTACTCCATCTCCATCTAGAACCACACACTTGCATTTTCTCCCCACCAGCTCCTCTGTTGTTACATGTTGCCACTCTCAGCCCAACTATACAGGCATTGGAAGCAAAAACTTTAATGGTGCAACCAGGGCCGGACTGGGAAAAAAAATAGGCCCAGGCATTTTAGACTGAGCAGCCCAATCACTTGACAAATGACAGGCCCCACCCCTAACAACAGGGGGCGGAGCCAAACACAGAAGCGCAATCGAGGGGCAGGGCCGGGCACTAATAAGTACCGGAGGGCTACAGCTGACACACAAACCTTGCTACAACCAATACACAAACCTTACAATAATATAGGAAGCTTGCTATAGAGAATATCTGTAAAAAAAGTCAAGGCAACTGGACTTGCTGTATTTTTCTTGAAGACGTTTCACTGGACATCTGACCAGCTTTCTCAATTCAGAAATTTCTCTAGATCTCAGAAGTTGGAACTTTTGATAGAACTTCGATAGAGCTTTTCTCCTCCTGATTAGCTGCAGAGAGGATCGTGGCAGTGCAGTGTTTGTGCTGATGTCCCCGCCAGTGGTGTATTCTGGTTTGGGGCTGCCCTAGGCAAGTCAAAACTCGGGCGCCCCCCACACACTAAATTTACCCCACCCGGCTGTGGTCTCAGGTGGGCTCTAACCACAGATCCTGCAAAGCCCCCCCGAGACCCGGCTGAGCCCTTCACAGATCCTGCACAGCCCCCCTGAGAGCCTGCAGTCTCAGGGGGCTATGCAGGATCTGTGGTTGGCTCTGCCCACCATATACCTCACAGAGCTCACCACAGAAGCCCCCTTGAGACCCAGCAAAGCCCCCCACAGATCCTGCAGAGACCCCCTGATACCCTGCAGGATATCAGGGGGGCTCTGCAGGATCTGTACCCCCCCACATATCCTGCAGGATCTCAGGGGGGCTTTGCAGGCTGCAGAGCCCCCTATGGATCCTGCAAAGCCCACAACAGATCCTGCAAAGCCCCCTGAGACCCGGCAACCCCCCCCCGCATATCCTGCAGGATCTCAGGGGGGCTCTGCAGGATCTGTGGTGGGCTTTGCAGGCTGTAGAGCCCCCTTTGGATCCTGCACATTCTAACGTGGTCTCAAACTTGATAGAACAGAGGCCCTGTTTGTAATAATTTAATCAGACAAATAAATTATAACAGGGAACGTTACAGTGTAATATTCCCCATTATAATCCACTTGTCTAATTACATGAAATAGCAGTACACAACACTCCCCCCCCCACCGCTCGGACTCACCCAGACACAGGATCGCAGCAGCCAGGGCGTGTTGATGTGTGCACTGCAGAGGGCGGGGCGTGTGACACACACACGTCTCCTGTGACTCACCTCCCCTCCTGTCACCTGTTACTAGGGACACAGCCAGGAGGGGCGGTAAGTCACAGGACCAGCCCTCTCACTGAGAAGCCAGTCGGCAGTGCGGGGCCCTGGTGTTCTAACACCGGGACCCTGCACTGCCCCATATTGCAGGACCGGACCCCACTGGGCACCCCCACAGCCTCAGGCCCTGGTGCGGCCGCACCGGCGGTAGTTCCGCCCCTGCTTCCACCCCCCCACACATAAAAATAATAATGTATATATAAAATAATACCCCCCATACACATGAAAAAATACCCCACACACACATATTATATATATATATATATATATATGTAATATTTACTGTATTAACTTCTGTAAAAAAAAACTGCCTAGACTATAGATCCAGGAAGTGTCTGATTGTCTTAGTGGATCAGGAAAGATTTTCTTCCTGATGCGGCAAGTTGGACCTCTCTTTAAAAGGGTTTTATGCCTTACTCTCAATCAACTGTGGATTTAGGGTCCTGTGGATGCAGGATCCAGCATGGACACAAGTTTCCTATGAAGTAATTATGGTTTCATCCTACCATATCCTGTGTGGGGCACAAAACCTTGAGCAACTTTGGAATATTCTTGAAATAGTGAAATCAATTCTAACAAGATATGTGACCAGTGTACAGCAAATGCACTAGTTAACGATTTCAGTTTTTGCACCTGTACACCCCTTATGGACCAGATCAATTTTATGGGCCTACTGATTTAGTAATAACTTTGTAATTACTTAGAATGACAAAGTAATACATGTGTTTTTTTCAGTAGAAACAAATCTTTCTCTTGGAAATATTGTCTTGAGAAAAATATTTTATTTTCTATACAAGCAAAAAAAAAATGCTATGGAAAAATTACTAGTGTGCATTTTTTTTCTGGTTCGACCAGTGTTAAGTGTAAAATAAAAAATGTGATTGTAAATAAAAAGTGTACATTTTATTTTCTAATGACACTAAATTTGTGTTTCTATTACAAAACATAGCAAAATGTTTTACAAACTAATTAAAGGCATTTTTAATTTCTTCAATTGTGTGCTTTTTTTAAATGCCTCCCTAAACAAATTAGGAACAAGTTAATATTCACAATCCTTTCGACCAGCGTTCACTGAAAGAGTGATGGCCGAAAGGATCCGAGTGTCGGCACAGATTCAGCGACAGAGATGCAGACCATGTCCGCAGCTGTGATCCCTCCTTTCAGCTCTCTCTGTTTCCTCCCGACCGTTCTGAAGCTGTAGCGGCCTGGAGGAGAGAGAGAGATCTGACAGGACGGGTCGCAGCTGTGGGGACCTCAGCAATGCCTGCCACGATCCCCTCTGCAGCTCATCCAACGGCACCGTCTCCCCGCCCCCGCACCCATCAGCAGCCAGCAGCTTCAGGCATAGCGGGCCGGGACGGGCCAAACATTAGGCTGATTGTGTTCAACCTGGCTCACCGGGAAAGTGCCCAGTATGCCCGATGGCCAGTCCGGCCCTGCCGCCAATGTAACAAAACTATTCGCACTGACCACCAATGTAATGAAAGTGTTCACAATGACGGCCAATGTAACGAAGGTATACACCATACACATGCTTAAACTTACCTTGTTCTTGCAGTCTTCAGGCAGTTTTTGGGGAGCGGGGCCATTGATTTGCATATGAATTAGCCGCTATATTTACATATGAATGGGCTGTGGCTTATTGATATGCAAATCACCATGCCTAATTCATATGTAAATATCTCGGCCGGGACAGTACAGGAACAGCACCAGCAAGCTCCGGAGAGAGCACAGAGTAGAGAGAGCTGGGTGAGGAGGTGTTTTTCCGCCCTCCCCCACCAGTGCTCTCTAGTGTCTACTGTGTTGTAGCGCCGGCTCTGCTCAGGGCATAGCGGACCGGCCCAAATACAATCAGGTTGATTGTGTCCGGCCCGGCTCACCGGGCAAGTGCCCGGTTTGCCCTGTGACCACTCCGGCCCTGGTTGTAATCCGC